GGTTTCTTCCTGTTAAAAGGGAGTTTTTCCTTCCCACTGTTGCCAAAGTGCTTGCTCATAGGGGGTCATATGATTGTTGGTTTTTTTTTTCTCTGTATCTATGAAGCGCCTTGAGGCGACTTATGTTGTGATTTGGCGCTATATAAATAAAATTGAATTGAATTGAATAGAATTGAATTGAACTCAGGACCTTGCTAATTTCCGCTGACTTTTCAAAGCCTTCTAAAACTTCTCCATGGACCATTTTAATGCCCGAAATAATTCATGGATATCTGCCAAAAACAGGTTAAATGAATTGAAATGTATAAAAACTTTTTATATACTTCTGAAACCTCCTCTAGGACCATTTGAGTTTTCCAAATGATTCCTAAAAGACACTGAAGAACCCAATCTTCAAGGACTCCGATAAAGCCACTGAAATATAGGAAACTGCTGTTGTACTCACCATTCCACTTTTAGCTCAATGTAAGTCAGCAGTTGACATTTTCCTTTACAGGTTTCACATTGCTTTTTCCCCCTACCATCACACTTTGTACACCTAAACACACACAGACACATAACTCATTATTTTTGGTTACTTACAGACATTGCAGATTTTGCTTTATTTTTAAAAAATATGGTATTTGTTTATTTTTACTTCTATTATTATTTTAAAAAATTACTGAACTTTTACTTATTGCAGCATTTCTTTGCTTAGACATTTTTAGGAAATTTTGCATCTGTCCTTTTCTAATTAGTTACTGTAATTAATCGTATATCCCCAACATATGCACAGTCATAAAACTGGTATTTTTTCTGTTTTATTTTCAGTTTGTGTGACCATTCAGTACCTGTTTTTGCCTGTGCCATTACAGTGAGTGCAGGCTGGATCGGACTTTGCCGCACCATTACACATCGGGCAAGCTTTCTACAACGACACAAATAAGCAAATGTTTTAATTGTACCTTGATCAGACTTTTCATGTCTTATTATTTACTATTGAGAGTTTCCTTACTTTTCCACTTCCACTGCACTCCTTGCATTGCTCAGTACCTGCTGCATGGCATGTGTGGCATTCCTAAACACAAACACACAAAAAAAAAAGTTAAAAATGAGCAAAAGGTAAAAAAATTTCACGTGTTCATGGTTTTAAAGCCTCAATAAACTCAGGAAAAGATGAGCTGTAGAACCATCTCATGGGCAACTAAAGATCCATCAAAATTCATCTGGAAAATTCTTTAAGTATATATGTCTTCAAGCTTAAAGCTCAGAACTAAACTGCAGGTAACCCAGCACTTTGACAGATAGCTTTTGTTATTCAGCCACCTTGACGGAGGACGTGTAGGGCACCCGGATCTTCTCTGTGTGGTCACTGAAATGTTTGGGGGGTGTGGCCTGGACCTCCCATGGTCGTGGAGCGGGCTGGGTGTAAAAGTCAGCAGGCTCACCTTTTAAATACACGAGATCACAAAAAATAAAAGTCAATAAACTACTAGTATAGTAAGTTACTGCATTGTCAGTAGATTTATGCAAGGATCAATAAAAGAGCCATTTGTTATGAAAACCAAAGCAAGTGTTTCCAGGTTTAACTCTTTCAGGTAAAACACTATTGATTAATCAGTTGTTCTGGAGTTTGATTCATAATAGGCTCTGAGTATCACACTATTGTTTTTAATCCCTCACAAGGCCATAAACTTTGAGTGTGGTCAAGAACAAAGTGAAAAATGTGGTTTGGTAACAGGAAACAACAAAACTCTACCATCAGATTAAAAAGCATCCAGCCTTGCTCTATAATAACAGAACATGGTGGCTCAAGGAAACAAATGAAAATGACCATTTTAATGGCTCCACATCAGGTTTGGATTTAACAAAATGAAAATGTGCGTTTACCTTCATGTGGTTTGTGGGCCCAGTCAGTTGACCTGGACTCAGTGAATGTCTCCAGACGGTACTAAGGAACAAAAAACAGACTTTACTGAGAGAAACTGGATTTGCTGATAACATTACTGTGCTAATTTCTCTATATTTCACATCAGAGTGAAAGTGAAACATACGTTTCTATGCATCATGTGCAAGAAATGTCTCTCCCATTAAATCCTACACAAAATTTGTTAAACCCAATCAGTATCGCACATTATACCATACAATGTATTTCCGGGTTGTTGCCATATAACTGGGTAAAACCACTTGGAACCGGTATTCCATATTCTTTGAGCTTCTTGCAAGAGTCTTGAGGATATGATGAAAAGTTCTGGCAAACTACTACTTCAGCAGCTCTGGACACTTACTAAAAGCTCTGAAGTTTTTGAGAAGAAAATGGTCACACTTTTTATTACAGCTCAGTAATAAGGGGGTAATAGCAGGTTAACTAGTTAACCTACAAGGTATGTGTTTTAAATATGCTTTTTGCATGTTGCAGCTGTATTTCCTGTTTTATTAGGCAAACTGCCACAGTTGTTTTCAGTTGTTTTCAGATAATAATCACACACTTTTTTGCTTAATAGGATCTTAATATGTTATTAAATTTAAACAGGTGGTTTTGCATTTTGCAGCTCTGTTTCCTGCTTTTTACACAGAAACTACCACAGGTAATTGAGGGGTAATAACTTAACGCATATTACTGCATTATAGCATTCTTGTTTCTTCCTTGTGACTCCACTTTATTGTGGAGCTGTATTTCCATATTATTATGTGCAGTTTTTGGGTTCTCATTATCCTATTACATACATTTCTGAGCAATATTACTCAACTGTAACCACTCTTGCTACCATGATATTACTTAGATATTAAGTGGTTATTACTTTGGTAATTGCATAGTAAAAACTTAGAAATTACCACATTATTACACTCTTTCCCCCCCTTTTTACCCTACTACTACCCCTGTATTACCTAGCTGTAATAGAAAGTGCTACCAAAAAATTCATTATGCATGTTTCAACAGTTCATTATCATTCAATTATGTCCTTTGGTCTAATGTTTGGAAAACTATGGATAAAAGCATCTCAAACCAGAGCTCTGCAACAGACTGATCAAGATAGTAAAGGCAGATATGGAGGTAACTCAGTCCGCAGCATCACTGATGCTGACAGCATTATAAAAAGGGAACATTTAATCACCCTAAATGTGTTGAATGGCTCCATGGAGGTGATGACTCCCTGAGTGACTGGATCTTCACTGTAGCAGATATGAGATGACACAAATTTCTTGAATGCCTCCCGAGCCTCATCCTCAGAAAGAGAGGGGATGCTACAATACACACAAACTCTGTGTTAAACCAGAATATTCTACTGGTTGGTGAGCAGCTCAGAAACACAGGTAATATGTCGTACCTCCATTCAGGATTTTCAGGGCTGGGTTGGGGTGGGGCTACTGGCTCCATGGGCATGGGAGGAGGCAGGAAACCTGCTGCATCAATGACAAATTTTCAAGTACCAGCAACAGCATTAATGTGAGGAATTATGTGAACCGGGCTTTTCTTACCTCCTCCTGGCACAGTGCCTTCATAGCCTGGGACATTGACAAACATGTTGGCTTGGGGTGCCATGACAGGTGGGTACATAGCTGGAATGAAAAACAAGAAACAAAAAATTGAACCAAACAGATCAGGTGACCCTGAATCCTCCCTTAGTTATGCTGCAAAAGATCTAGGCTGCTGGGGAATTCCCATGATGCACTGAGTGTTTCTTATTCCTTCCATTTAAAAGGTTTTTTTTCTTTACCACTGTAGCCAAAGTGCATGCTCATAGGAGGTTCCCTGATTGTTTTTTTCTGTTTTTTTTGTTGTGATTTGGTGCTATAAAACTGAATTGAATTGAATGGCTGGAGTTGAATAAGACTGTTCCTGCACAGAAGAATGTTTGGTGCAATGAAAAATGATTATGCCCACTCTATGGTTAGCCATGGCCAGGTGGGCTGGTGTATTTGCGGTGTGAAACCAAAAGCAGACACAGGAGAGGGAATGAGGTATAACAAAAGCCGGGCCTTTTATTGAGGCTGATTTCCAAAAGAGAAAACAAGGCAAGGCGAGTTGGGGGGGAAAGGAAAGCAAAACCTAAACTGGAATAACCTAAACTCAATATGAAAACTATGACATGGAACTCAGCGCATGCAAAAACGGTGACCAGAAACATGAACATGAACACGAACATGAAGCATGAAAACAATCCTGAGACTTGCAGTGATATGACATGAGATAGACAGACAACCTGACAATGAAGAAAGAGAGACAGAGGACTTAAATTGTGTTAAAAAAAATAAAAAATTTAAAGTTAAAAAATTGTGTATGTTTCTGTTCTGTGTCCTGTGTACTGTTTGTTTATATATGTGTCTTTCTGGCTGCTGTCAAAACCAAATTTCCCCTCGTGGGACAATTAAAGGATTATTCTATTCTATTCTATTCTATTCTATTCTATTCTAAATACACAGAAGGGTATACTCTGTTGAACAGTTCTTGTTTCTGCCATGGCTGCTCCACAAAACGACTTGTGTATATAAGTTAGTGAAATCATTCTTCAGAATCAGTTTTAGTTAGAAGGAAATTATTCACCTTCTGTGATATGTGATAAGTAAATGTGAAATGTAAAATGTAAAAGTAAAATGTGATAACTACAATGGTGCAGAAAGCTGCATCTGGTCAGAAGAAATAAACCCCACAAATTTTAAAGAGTTGTCCAGATTTGTTAAAACTTAAAACAGCTGTCAACGGACAGATGCAAGGATATCCATTGCTACCCCCTCATGCAATAAAGAGTTTCAAAGATGTTTGTTGTATGACAAGTATGATAATGGGGGTAGTATACTAACCCCATTTCCAGTGTTAGAGTAAACATTTTTAGTTCAGGTTTCTTTTACCATTTTCTCTCTTATCTCTTAATTTTAACAAACATCTCCAAAAAACAAACACTGATATGACAAGAAACTGCATTGATTTCTGAAAAGGGTAATAATGGTTGTGTGCAGACAGCCCCTAAAGCCCCGGACAGACTTTAATATTTTGTCACAGACTCTGAAGGACTCCATCACCCGTTCCAGCAACTCAAGAATCAATGATTACGTTAACCTGACACATGAGGGATTACAGACGAAGGCATGAGGTCAGTATCTAGAAAAAAAGACTCCAAAAACTGAAACTAGTAAAACAACTTGATTAGCTCTCTCAACATGACAGTGTTAACATCCATATCCTTGCATCTGTCCATTTACAGCTATTTAATTTTGTATAAATATGGTGAGCTATTCTAGGTTAGTGTTATTTTTCTTTCTGACCAGATGCTGTTTTCTGCACCATCTCTTCAACGCCCTTATACTTGTTACTAGTGTGTATGCGCTAAAACAGAAATATTTTCCATATCCTCAGTACGGTTTCAATAACTCATGCAAACACAGCATTTTGAAAAGGGTATAGAAGCCGTACCAGTTGTTTGACTCAAAACAACAAATTAAATCTTTACATTTCAACTTTCTTTGTCTTTGTCTCAAAAGATTATTCATTATCATGCACTACTATTATTATCATCACTGATTATGTCCTGACTTTCATTATGCCTAAACTGAGCACATTATATTAGGTCTGCACTCCCTTTCTTCACCTGAGTTGATTAAACTTATTTTTAAATCAGTTACTGAAAATCTGACCTTGTTTTCTCTTTCAGAGTTTAGCAATCCATATGTGTCCTTATTTGTGAAGTCTAAAGCAGGGATGGCAAACTAATTTTAAAACATGGGCCACACTCACCCCATTTTAAATTTAAGCGGCCGGACCACTGGTCTTTCCAACAATAGAAATAAGTTTAACTACACATTTAGCTGAGACGCATTAATCTAAAAGAAATGCACGCAAGTCTTATAGTATCTCTTAGTTTTTCTACATGATAACGAAACACTGCTGACGTTAATGATAGAAATATGTCAGTGTGACTCTTTGGAATTGGAATTGTAAGAAATAAATGTGTAAAATTACAGAAAAGAAATTGCACAAAGTACAAAACAGAAAGATCCTGTTAATTCGCATTTTCCTCCCAAATCCACTTTCTTTCTGCTTTTCTTTCTTTTTTGTCCACTACAAAGGCAAACGTCTGCATCAAATTCTTCAGGAAACAAGGTTCAGGTGGCTTGATGAGTTTCATCGGCAGTTTACTGTCAAAAAGGAAAACAAGTGGATCATGTTTGGAGCTCCTCTTTTAAAAACTAAAATATACTGAAGAAGCAAACTAATGCAGTTTAGTGAATGCTGAAGTTTAACGTGATTCTGACTTAATCTTCGCACTGAATGTTTATTAATAGAAGTGACAGCGTTTCAGCGCCGACTATCAGGAGCCGAACCCTGCGTCTGCGCCTTTGAATAGCCCGCAGGGGTGTGGTCAGTGTCGTGATGGTTCCTAAGCCTGCTGGTGTGTCCTGTGCTGCAGTTCCTACCTGAGCTGTTCATTCTGCTGCAGATCAACCACGCTGATATCAGCCTCACAGAATCCGTTACAGTTAGAGTCATCCAGAACCGCATTTAAATGGTGAAATTCGGAACGCCCCCTGGTGGGAGAGCAGGCCCGCCTACCCCGAGTTAACGATCAAAGATAGAAGCAGTGAATGCAAACAATTGAAAAACTGTAAATCTTTATTTTTCCTGCGGTGTGCTTGTGACTCGCTCAATAAACAGCTGACCAGGGTCTATCCTGTGGCTGCAGTTAAGGCTTTTTTTAAGCGCAGAAAAACAAGCATTATATTGTGATACACCAATGGCTTTGGCAAGAAACAAATCCCGCTTTTTCTACTTTACTATTAGAACTCAGTTCATCATCATTTCGTGGTATCGGCACAAACGCGGCCTTTGGGGTCTTTTGTGCCGAAACCTGATCCAAATCCAACTTTTCTATGTTTTTTCTATTTGTAATACATTTACCAATATTGATGAATAGACTGCATCCAACTGGATTGACACAATTTTGACTTTGCGTTATTGTACGTATCCTAATGAATATTTAAAATATTTCTGTAGAATTGTGATTTTACATTTGTTGAGATTTCTGCTCCCCTCTTGCCCCCTTATCCTCACTTGTCAATGACGTTTTTTTAAACCTGGAAACTGATCGCAGCTTCTACCAATGTTCCTTCTGGTTTATAATGATTTGATATAATCCCTGATGGATTTGTGTGACATTTATTTGACAGATTATAGGCTAAAAACCTGTTTACAGCTGTTTGAATACCAATCATTTTTTGGCAAAACCTGAAAGCACCTGCTTTGAGTGCATTTTCTAATAACCTTTAATTATAAAAAGACCCAATTTTCCAGAAAAAAACTCCTTTCAAAATAAAAATGTAAATTATATGTACCGGTAAGAAAGAAAAAAAATCCTTAATTTCCAAGAGAGAACTGGACAGGGTATGTAGAGGGGTATGGTTGCAACATGGGGACAGTTGCAACACCCCCAATGCCATCAATCAACAATAAGATAGGAGTCATATGATCATTTCAGTGTTTACCCACTTCTATCCCTGACTTAAGGGCTAGAAATAGGGCATGCAGATTTTATTGAGAAAAAGGGATTTTGATGTAACAACACAAAACTTTGTTTGCAGATAAAATGATATGGCTTACAGGAGATTAAATTCTGATTTCATAGATAAACTGTGATGCACCCCCTCGGGGTAACTATGCTAATACAGTTAGCTAAACAATTGATGACAGGAATTCTGTATACGGTTCTGAAGAGCCCATGAGATAAAGCAGCTGGTCTATGGCTAAACAAGCAGGAAGCAGCTAAGCCTCAGTTCTCCTCTTGATCTCACTGATAAGATCTGCTCTGGATATATCGACCTCCTCTCTGGTTGCCACTACCACTCCATCCTTCAGCTACTGTTCTCCCAGTATAGCCACGAGGGGGATTCCTGCTTCCTCACAGTACTGCAGCTGACTCAGCAGTTGGGGTTTTTTTTTTGTACATCAACTCAGCCTTGATGCCAGCATTCCAGAGCTCAGAGATGAGTTGTCGTTGTTATAATCTCACACAACTAATTTACAGCACAACTCGTCCAAATCTTAAATGCCCAGAAAAGTCATCACTTATTGATTTATTTTTAACTAATATGCCGTATAAATATTCTCACACTGGGGTTTTCGCAAATGATATCAGTGACCACTGTGTGGTAGCTGTAGTCAGACAATCGAAGCTCCCAAAATCAAGGCCACAAATAGCTTTTAAACGAGATTTTAAGCATTTCTGTGAGCAAGCTTTCTTTCATGATTTATGGGACTATAACTGGAGTAGAATCTACCTAATAACTGATCTTGAGCTGCCATGGAATTATTTATATGATACTTTTATCAAAATTATAAATAAACATGCCCCTATCTGCAAATTTAGA